ATAATTTTATGAACATTCTATCTAAAACATACGTTTTAAATCTTTTCTGCTTTTTTGTTGTTTTTTTTTTTTTTTTTTTTGCTGTGAGAGTGCTGTTTGCATATGTAACAAGAAACAGAACGCCTCAATGTACTGAGTGATAATAAATGAAACTTTTGTTGCTTGGGTTATTTTGATAACCATGATTTTGATAATTTTATGAACATTCTATCTAAAACATACGTCTTAAATTACATTATAATTTCTACTATTCGATTTGATGTGGATACTAGTATTGCTATGCTTTGATTTAGAGGTAAAACTAGTCTGTTAATTATATATTTTCGAATAATATTTTATAGCGCAATGACTTTCGTCTTCTTCAAGCCAGTATACCTCGTTCTCCATTGTAAAAGAAAATCCTCACGAAAATCCTCGTCCACTGATCTGAAAAACGTACATGACTTCAGAAAATACACTCAGCATAGTTAACAATTATTAACCGGGGGCGAAGTGAATATCGATGAATTATAACCGAAACAAAGTCGAGATAACTGTTATAACTGTTTAAGTGATTGGTTTTATACCATTACTTATTACACTATAAATTAGCACTTATTAGATTTTTCGAATCTGAACTTTTTTTTGTCTTTGTTTTTTCGCTTGGGCAGCTTTGTATTTTTATTTGTTTAGTGCACCGCTCTTGCTGTTCGATCTCAATCTTGCTAACAAATTTAAACTAACCTTATTTTTCCATTTACTTGTTTATTTTGTCAATTTTTTATTTTAATTTTTGTAGTTTATGTATTTTTTTCATTTCAGCAACTCGCAACGCGCAACTCGCAACTCGCAACTCGCAACTTTTTGACTCGCGTTCTTCCCACACCCTAATACGACTACGTCAGTCTTTTTTAAATCTCTTTACACCGGAAACCCAGAGTACTTAATTGATTTATTTGTTTATGTAGAGACGGGCTCCCTGTGTGATAAGTGGCAAGTTTATCTTTATTATCTTTATCATCTGAACATGAAATAAATATCTGATAACATACGTATTGAGCAGTAACGTCCGCTTCTTCTCCATCCACTACAACAGTAGTAGTTGCTTTCAAGCTTTGCCATAGATCTTTGCCCAAGAGTGTAGATCCGGTAAGACCTATTATGAAATTGCAATAATTAATATAGCTCTAGTTCGAAATTCGAAATTTAATATCCTTGAGATGTTATCCTCTATAGACAACATCCCTCCTCCTTCCCATCCTGTCCCCTGGACCTCTACACTAGGAACAGTTGTGGCTCACCATAGAAATTGAGAAACAAAGAGCGGAAAAACATTGTTACCGCATTTATATTGAAATAAGTAAAATTATGGAAAACAACAACATGCATTATATTTATGACTTGGTGCATAACATTTGAAATTAATTGTCAAATCTTAAACTTTTTACTATGTTTTAGATGGATTGATATAACATACCTTGATCTCTTGCATCTCGACCATCCCCACAACCCACAACTTGTATAATAATGGCGGTAGGTTAATTTGGAAGCATGGTACGATTCGTAAGCAGTAAAGTATTTAGGACTCGAGCAAACGTGACTTCTAAAATCAAAAAATCATTAAGTCATACGTAAACTAGCACTGAGGGAAGCTTTATGCCAAAAAATAAAGTTATAACATAAAAGATAACTTACGCCCAGGAATACGGTCCACTTTCATTGCTTTGTTGAAAAGTCAAGACCAGAAGCAAGGCCCCAAGCAATGRATTAAAGTAGCTCATCGCCCCAATAAGTGCAAGTGAAAAGACGTTTCCTGAACAGCTCTTCCATTAAAATGCTGTTCATTTGGCTGATAAACGGCTCTTTATTTTATTTCTGACGAAATACGAGAAGCCTTGATGACACGTGAAAGCCGTACTTCTGGATGAGAAGAGACAAGTTATAAGAGAAACATAATATAACTTGAGCCAAGTGGACCGATGGCCATTAACCCTGAGTTAGTACTTGTATGAACTTGTTTCACTACACAAATCAACATCTACATCAACATTTTTCACATGTTATTTTTAGCAGGACCCCCATTGATAACAGCATTATTGTTGAAGGGTCTTCATCCTGCATAGATATTCGTCTTATTATCATTATTAGATATGCAATTTGCAATTCTGGCTTTTTGACGTCTTCTGTGTTCTGCTAACTTGATCTGACATGCCAAAAATGTATCATCAAGATGTGCGTGTCTTACCCTGTTGTATTTATTTTCGTCCCACCATGAGTGTTAAGGAGATCGTGTTATTTTGTCCCACAAGGTCAAACGTCTTCCTGTCTTCCTGTTTTGTGTAAATCCCCCTTTAGAAACAAATCATTATGATGATTTCAAATATAAAAGTTTGGAAGTCATATTTTTGTAAAGGAAAGTGTGTTCCATTTGGATTTAAAGCAAATAACGTAAAAGGATAAAATCGGCAAAAAGAAATTAAAGGAAAAAAGTTAAATAAAGAAAGCAGTTTTATATATTGTTTTCCAAATATTAACTTCAAATAATATTATTATTGCACATATGGGAAAACAATGAATCTATTATTTTTGCATTGAAAATAATACTGTTGTATGATATTTATACAAGACTACCATTGTGCAATTTTAACTTGAGACCTCACAGCCCGCACAATCTCATCAGTGACCTGGTGTTGCTTGGATATTTATCATGACACTTTTTGAAGTTTTCATGATATTCATTTAAACTCCTCTTACAGGACAAAGGGAGGCCGATAAACTCGATATTTACTGAGGATTAAAATGGCTTCCGGGTCAAAATACACGTTATTGTACTTTAAAAACAACTCGGATGTTTTCTTCATAGAACACTTGACTTGTATGGCTTTTTAAGGCTACTGTTGGCATGGAAATTAAAATTAAAAATTGACAAAATAAACAAGAAAATGGAAAAATAAGGTTAGTTTAAATTTGTGAACAGCAAGAGCGGTGCACTAAACAAATAAAAATACAAAGCTGCCCAAGCGAAAAAACAAAGACAAAAAATAAGTTCAGATTCGAAAAATCTAATGCGCTATATAAAAAAAAGATATTCCCTTATGTAAACAGCAAACGCCCAGCAACCTGACATCGGGTGGCTCTCGTGTTGCAAAAATTGACAGGCACAACATAAGTAATATACTT